GTCTATGGGTACCTGCCAGAAACCGTGAACTTAAGCAAAAGGTAATTCCGGCAGGGGGAGATCGCGACCACCGACTCACAGACCACCTACCTATATTGCACCCCAGACTCATTTCTAGATGATTCTAACCTTGATGGCACAGAATCAGAAATGGGAGGAGAATATGCTAATGATTTTCGGGAATTTATATGTTTATGTATGATTTCCTAATGGATTTGCATATGTTAGCTCTATATAAGAAGTTTGACTTCGGTGCAAGGTGTGCACGCTAGGAGGAGATATCCCCCGTGCACCCGGCGCCGCAATAAAGAAGTGTCTGCTTATCTACATCCCATTGGTGTTGATAAGTTTCTTATTCTGGATTTTCAGTAACATTGAGAATTTAGATTTTCTTTATGTGTGCTTAAGTGACATATGAAGCTTTTTTAATAATGAGACTTCTAAAATGTAGTGAAGGCCCAGAGATGATGATTTATGTGGATACTGGAAAGTTCAGCTAAATTGTATTCCATTTGACCTAACTGTGTGTAAATTTTACAGGTGTACATGTGAATGAAGAGGACTTCCTGTTGTTGGAGCTCTTGGACTGGTTTAAGAATGACTTTTTTCATTGGGTAAATAATCTTCCTTGCAGCAGGTGTGGTGGGCAGACAGAGCCTAAAAGTAACTACCTGTTGCCTACTGATGATGATCTAAAGTGGAACGCCAGTCGAGTGGAAAATCATTACTGCAACCAGTGTCAGTTCTGTAATAGATTTCCAAGGTGAGCACACACAGATTTGCTCTGACGTTCTTCTTGTCTTTCCGGAAACAGCTTTGCATTTGTGCATTTTGTGAACAAGTGATGAGTTGCTGGTGGCAAGATTAGAGAAGCTGTTTTAAGCAACATAATAGTATGGTTGATGAACCAGCAACTGCTCTATAAGATTGGAGACTTCTAAAAAAAACAATACTACTTTCTTTTACATGGCCTTGTTCTGAATACTTGTCTGAATTTTTTCTGATTTTTTTTTTTACTGTTAATTTGATGACTTGTCTGAATTTTTTCTGATTTTTTTTTTTTTACTGTTAATTTGATCAAGTACAACTTCTAAATAAAATGTGTTAATATTGACATAATATGTAGGCAGGTTTTTGTTATTTAAAGGAAAAATTTTACTTCTGTGGGAAATCACAGAGGGTAATGAACATCTTTTGCTGAGTCTATAACAAAAGAGCAAATATCCTATTTTTTGATATTATCGCTAACTATTGAAAGGACCAGCATACAAAAATCATATTTTAAGATAAAGTCTGAGACAATTTTGAAAACTGAAAAAAAAAAAAACCCAGATTCATTTCAATGCTGCTATAAACGTGATAATCATGTGAGTCAAAGTAAAAGTAGCATTCTGCTCACACTTGTGCGGTACAGCAATCATTTGTTGTCTTCTGTGGACTGAATGGCACTGAAACATGTTCAGATCATCACAAGGACAGTCACGGTGTAAAGACTTTGAAAGGTGAAATGCATTTTCAGTTATTCTGCATTTGTTTTGTTTTTCTCCTGTAGGTATAATAACCCTGAAAAACTTCTAGAAACCAGATGTGGACGCTGTGGCGAGTGGGCCAACTGTTTTACGCTGTGTTGCAGAGCTGTAGGGTTTGAAGCTAGATATGTCTGGGACTGTACAGGTATCAGTGTTCTAGAACATCGTAATGTCAATACAAACTTATGCAAAATGAGGTTATATATTTTATGTCTCTCAAGTTATTTAGCCATCAGGCAGCATATAAATTTATGCATTTTGGCAGACAAAGACAATATAAGTTCAATTTCCCATCTTGCAGAACTATATTTCATCTCAATAGGCAAGTAAGGTTAGATGATTGACTTGAGAATGATACAAACTTCAGTTGAATCTAAGAGATCATGTTCCTAAAGTAGAAAGAGAAAGCACTGGTAACTTTTCTGAATGTAGATTAACAGAAAACATGTTATTTCACCTGTCCTTCATTTAATAAATCAGGAAAAGTTACAGTATTCTGCAATATTAGAAGAGAGGATCTATCCTTATAATTATTTTTTTATTCTTGGCCTTTGTTATATAGATCATGTGTGGACTGAAGTGTATTCTTCATCTCAGAAAAGATGGCTTCACTGTGATCCTTGTGAAAATGTCTGTGATAAACCTCTTCTCTATGAAACTGGGTGGGGAAAGAAGCTCTCCTACATAATTGCATTCTCCAAAGATGAGGTAGGAGTAATGATGTTAAGAAAAAACAAACTTGCCCTGAGGCAAGTGTTACATATTCCATCTTAGTGTGATTTCTAGAGTTATTACAGGAAAACATGCTTTGATTAGCTAGCCTATTTAAACGAAGCAAGATAAATGGGAATTTTTGGTGGCTTTATTTTCTTGTTCCACTTGTGCTTGAGGTTGTTGATGTCACCTGGAGATACAGCTGTAAGCATGAAGAAGTTCTCTCTAGAAGGACAGCACTCAGTGAAGCTACACTACGTGAAACAATTAATGCACTAAATAAAACGGTACGTAGCTTTTCTTAAATGGGTTTCTAAGTGAAATGTAAGTGTCTTTCTGGAATGCGAAGTCCTTGAACAAAAGTGCATTGACATTCTTATCAGATTTCTATGGAATGTAAAATGCTGCTGAACTATACAGACCTCATTTTACACTGAATACATAAGAAACAGTTACAGTGCTGAACTTAGGTGAAATAAGATAAAGAATAGTATGTAGAAGGATTACTATATAATCTCTTACATAGTGCAGTGTGTGTGTGTATATATGTATAAAATATATACCGTGTGTGTGGATGTGTTTTCTTGATGGCTTTGGAGTAGACTTGTGATTTACCCCCAACATCTGTTGACGCACAACTGCTTTGTAGCTACGTGGACTCCTTGAGAGTGGCTGAGAATTTTCCACATCAATAATGCTATAACGTGAAAACAGTAGTATTTATAGTTACAAGAAATGTAGGCTTAACTTGTTTCCTGTGACTTTTTACAAGCTTGAGGAAGCAGGAGGAGTGATTCACAGACTGTTTCCAAGACTTTCAAGAAGTTTTGATACCATCATGTTGTGATTTAGCCTGGCCCTGCTGGCTCATGCTCCCCCACCCCCAGGGGATAAGGAAGAGAATTAAAGGGCAAAAGGGATGGACACTCATGGGTTGAGATAATAACAATTTAATAATAATATATGAATATGTATATGTGTAATGATGATGATAATGCATACAAACAAGTGATGCACAGTGTAATGGCTGACCATCTGGTGACCAATGCCTGGCCTATCCTGGCAAGCAATCCTGAAACAGCTAAGTCCCCATGCTGCAATCCCAGACGAGTGAGAGGCCCAAAAAGAGAATGAGAGAGAGATAGCACTCTGAGGGTGAGAGCCCCAGAAGAGCAAAAGCTCTTCTTTCCAGTCAACCCTCATCTATATACTGAGCATGACGTTGCATGATATGGAATACTTCATTGGCCAATTCAGCCCTCAATCCTAAGTCTAAGTTCAAATCCTAAGTCTAAGTTCAAATCATAAGTGGAGTTGTGGAGCTTCTGTCCCTGCCATGCTCCCCCCCAGACTGTTGTGCTCCTGCACGCTGGCAGAAACAGCAAGCTGAAAAGTCCTCGATGTCTCAGTGCTAACTATAAACATTAGCGTGCTATCAACACTCTTCTTATAATGAATCCCAGATTAAAACCAAAACACAGAGCTCATCTAGCTGCTAAAAAGAGAAACTAACTGTCCCAGTCAAACCCAGCTGCATATACTGTTCATGCCTAATGGAGCTATTTGGATCTGCATGTCATAGTCACAGAACCCGAGTGCACTTGAGGCCTCTCTGCTAAGCTTTTTCCACTCCCTATTCGGGACAGGATGAACTTTTCTTGATTTGATACTAGAATACCACAAAACTGTGAACCACCTGTGAGGTTCAGTTTTGCCCCACTTCCATGACTAGTTCCTGTGCATAGAAAATTTAATTCCTGTGATAGTGTACAGCTGATGACTTAATAAACAGATTATGCCTTTTCAGAGGCCTGCTGGCATGTTCTGGTTATAGCCAGACACCAAGAGTGTGAAGAATTGAACTGGACTCATGATTTCAAGCCTTGGCCTCTAATTTTTCATTACTGATTAAACATTTGAGTCACATAGCAGAATGGAGCACTGAGGTGTCCACAGATTAGCAAAATAAAAGGAGATAAAGAATCAGAAATTCAAGGTGAGGAATGCATGCACTTTGTGCAGGGTTGCAGGGATTTAATGGTATCCTCTGTGAGCATTGAACCCCTGCTGGCTACAAAACTGATCTGAGGGACCTTTATTCTGATCTACTGGTAATAGAAACCAGTCTCCAGACTCTTCGCCTCCACCACTTGTCTGTAGGGAGAGAGAACCTCAGAAACAGGGCACAAGTAAGTTGAAACACTACTGTGACAAGATTGATGGAATCAGGAAAGTATAGGCAGCTGACTCATGGACTGGCTTGCCTGACCTCCTTGTCACCTCAATGATGTCACTTAAAGAAGTCTAGAGAACTTGCAGTAAACATGCATTGCCATCTCCAAGAGATGGTGCTGCACATTGATCTATTGGCTTGTTTCCTTTTTTTCCCCCGCTTACTTTATAGGACCATGCAGCTCATGAACTGACATGAGCACTTTTCAAACAGAAAGAACAGGCATTCTGGTTGTGTTTTAAATGAGAATCTCGTTAAAAGCTAAATACAGGAAAGAAAGCTATACATGCACTTCAAAGACACTTTTGTATTTCTCCTATTTTTCTTTCTCTACAAGTGGAAAATCCCAGCCCTTTCTTTTCTGTGCTGCACACTCTCTACTGCTTTCCAGTATTAAAGCTGTTTTGTGATTCTAATAGAACATCTTTGTCAGTCTTTTTGATGATATCTTATTCTGGGGAACGACTTACTCTCCCTTTCTACAGATTGAATGATACTCACACTCCCCTCTTCCCACACGCACTTCCCTTTTGCTTGCTAGCTGTTCAGAATATGTTTGATTAGCTAAATTTATTAAATTGATAATAAACTTAATTCCTGTAGGTAACTGCTCTTACTCCTTTTTTTTTTCTTTTGCCCGTTACAGTTGTAATTGGATTTCAGGGACTTGGAGGCAGTTTGCCATGAGATTGCTAAAAGAACAGTTTTTCTTAGATTTGTCATAGTCAAAGGACCTTTCCTAAAGTTCATACTAAGGTGACAATGCAGTGGGAATAAAGGGACCATTATGAAATTGCTGTCTGAGGATCTCCACATCGTATTCAGCAGCTTCTGCAGTTAGTAGAGGGGTAAGGCAGCTCATCTCTAGAACCATCAAGACATTTTATAGCACATTTCCATTATGCTGCTCAGTCACAAGTCTCCATTTTGGCTAGTATGCAGTTTCCTTCACTGCAACCTATTCAGCAGACAACTGATGGAGGCAAAGGCCTTCACTAACTTTTCTTTTTCACATGATCTCCTAGAAACTGGTTCCCCATTAGGAGGGATTGTAGTCTTGATATCTTTTGATGCAGAGCTCCAACACTGTGTCTTTCAACCTTAATTCTCCTAAGTTACAACTTAAGAGAAGCATGGTATGCAGGATACATTATTGCCTAGACTGCAATATTAGTGAAAATGGAATCTAAGAGGCCGTTATTGTGCTTTCCTGCATAAAGAGCCACAGGTCTGTCCATTATTTCTCTGTATGTGTGTCTGTTTAGTGGCCAAGCGGAGACAACGTAACAGTTCAAAGGATGTCAAGTGGCTGCCACTGTTAAATGCAAAAGAGGCAAGGATTATTTAATCTATTCAGTACACTATTTTACTTCTCAGAAATACTGTGTATGTTTTATTTAGATAAGGCATTCCTAAATGGGTCTGTAACCTGTGGATTGCCAACCATCTGATGTTATTCTACAGTACCATATCACGCTCTGACTGCTAAGTGTTTCTACATCTACTTTGTGTGGGCACCGTCCTATTCCAGTCCATTGTGTGTTACCCTTATAGAAAGGGGAGAGGGCCCTGAACTTTTCACTACCTTCATTGGAAATTGGATGATGGGGCAGAGAAACAATTATTTGTTTGTTCCAGGCCCTCTTTTCTTTTTGGTAGTGATTGTGAATGATTATAGCTACAGTGAGGTCAGCTCCTAAAAGGAAGACTACTGATTTATGTTGAATTGTGACCATCTCATGGCGATTGATGTGAGATGAACCAGTATTCCTTGCTTAAAATTCAATTTCTATCCTCAGATTATCTGTTGCTTACCCAGCAGTGGGGCCACTTGAATCTGTCTGCCAAAACACAGTCCTTCAAGAAGCATTGGCCACATAACTCACACATGATGCAGAACTGATTTTAAAGCTGCAGTTCACAACCTCTTTTCCTTCCTATTCCCTCTGTCTGCCAAAGAAGGGTGGGGCCTCAGCGTGTATGTGGAGAGTAATACCTTAAGAAAAACAAAAGCAGGAAGTTTGAGCCATGACAGTTGATAATGGGAGTTTGTGGAATCCATTTCAGTACATGAATGCTATTGATGACAATGTCATTTGTAGGAAATGTGGTTACACGTTTTCCCAGTGCAGGCGATGCTGGTCTCTGTGCAGAGTCTGAGCATTATATATGTCTTACAGGCTGCTAGCATTTATATGCAGGTCTACTGCGGGGTGGGGAGATGACAAGAATTAGCATACTTGTGCGCTTTACAGTTAAGGAACTTAATAATTTCTTGTATCGTACATAGAAGAGGCCTGTCTCTGAAACACCCTTTTTGTGTTGAAGCACTATTCTTTAACAGTTATTATTTTTTCCAGGTACTGTTACAACAGCTGCAGAGCAAAGGCAGCCAATTCTCAGTGGCATCACT